AAGGCAAAAACTGATAGATTTATAAGGAGAAATTGAGCTTTATACACATCTCATATTTACAGGTCAAGACCAAAAAAATTAAAACTTAAGGGTTGGAACAGAATAACTTAAGAGCTTAACCAAATATATATATATATGTATAGATATACTGAATATAAAATTTTGCTCCCACCAAAAAATTCTCAAATATAAATAGTACACAAACATGTACAGAAACTGATTTTTATGCCTAGTGACAAAGACTCAAATCCTTTGATACTCCCCTTCCTCACCAAAAATCAAAATAGAAATTTAACTCATACATCTCAATATCAAAAAAAAAAAAAACCTGGTTGAAAAATGGACAGAAGACCTGAATAGGTATTTTTCCAAAGACATAACAGATGACCAATGGGCACGTGAACAGAGGCTCAGCATCACTAATCAGCAGAGAAATGTAAATCCAAACCACAGTGAGACAGCCATTCTGACAGGTGTGAGGTGACAGCATCAATACGTATGATTATAAATAACAAATGTTGGCAAGGATATAGAGAAAAGGGAACTCTAGTACACAGCTCCTGGGACTGTAACTTGGTGCAGCCACTGTGAAAAACACTATGGAGGTCCCCAAAAAAACTTAAAACTAGAACTGCCATATGATCCGGCAGTTCCACTCCTGGATCTGTATTTGTAGAAAACAAAAACACTAATTTGAAAAGATATATGCACAGTGTTCACAGCAGCATTATTTACAGAAGCCAAAAATACGGAGGCAACCTAAGTGTCCACCAACAGATGTGGTGTGTAGATACATACACACACACACACACACACACACACAAATGGACTACTACTCAGCCATAAAAAAGAACAGAATTTTGCCATTTGCAGCAACATGGGTGGAGTTGGAGGAGATTAGATTTAGTGAAATAAGTCAGAGAAAGATAAATACTATATGATATCACTTGTTTGTGGAATCCAAAAAGAACCTAGAGAATAAACCAGTGGTTACCAGTTGGAGGGAGAGGGAAGGAGAGGAAGGGCAGCACAGGGGCAGGGATGAAGAGGTACCGGCTACCATGTATAAAATAAGCTACAAGGATATTCTATGCAGCACAGGGAATATAGCCAACATTTTATGGTAACTGTAAATGGAGTATAGCCTTTAAAAATTGAAAATAACTATGTTGTACACCTGAAACTTATATACTCTTGTAAATCAACTATACTTCAATTTTTAAAAAATGGAAATTTAAAAATATTTAGTTCACAGATGACCTAAATAAGCAATTCTCCAGTGAAGACATACAAATGGCCAATAGGCACGTGGAAAAAACGCTCAATATCACTAATTATCAGAGAAATGCAAATCAAAACTACAATGAGGTATCACCTCACACCAGTCAGAATGGCCATCATTCAAAAGTCCACAAACAAGAAATGCTGGAGAGGGCATGGAGAAAAGGGAACCCTCCTACACTGCTGGTGGGAATGTAGTTTGGTGCAGCCATTATGGAAGACAGTATGGAGATTCCTCAAAAGACTAAAAATAGACTTACCATATGATCCAGCAATCCCACTCCTGGGCATATATCCAGAGGGAACCTTAATTCAAAAACATACATGCACCCCAGTGTTCATAGCAGCACTATTTACAATAGCCAAGACATGGAAGCAACCTAAATGTCCACTGACAGATGACTAGATAAAGAAGCTGTGGTATATTTATATAGTGGAATACTACTCAGCCATAAAAAAGAATAAAATAATGCCATTTGCAGCAACAGGGATCGAAATGGAGATCGTCCTTCTGAGTGAAGTAAGCCAGAAAGAGAAAGAAAAATGCCATATGATAGCACTTATATGTGGGATCTTAAAATTAAAAAAAGAGAATGAACTTATTTACAAAACAGAAACAGACTCACAGACATAGAAAACAAACTTACGGTTACCAGTGGAGAAGCGGGTGGAAAGGGATAAATTGGGAGTTTGAGATTTGTATATGTTAGCCACTATATATAAAAATAGATTTTAAAAATTTCTTCTGTATAGCACATGGAACTATATTCAATATCATGTAATAAACTTTAATGAAAATGAATATGTGTCTGTATATACATGACTGAGACATTGTGCTGTACACCAGAAATTGACATATTGTAACTGACTATACTTTTCAGTTAAAAAATACGTAAAGTAAATAAAAATAATTGGAACTGTCATGACTAGTATAGCAGACCCAGAGTTGTAGACGAAGTAGCTCTTAAGTAGAAATTGACCCCTTTAATAAAGGCTCATGTCATGAATACTAAGGACAGCAGCCGTGAATGACAGGTAGTGTTCTTTGAACTAAGAAGTACTGAAAATAAACAAACTTTTAACCCGGTAAGTTAGAAAAAGAGCAAAATTAATTCAGACAGTGTAGAATAAGAAATTAAAAATATGATTAAAAAGAAATAGTCAAAAAAGCAAAACCTGGTTCCTTGAAAGGAATTAAAAATAAGATTTCACAAGTATAGCTGCCTAGAGAGTAAAGGTGACATCAGAAAGGGATATTATAGATACAGAGGGTTTTGTTAAATAATGTGAGAATATTTTGTTCTTTATGTAATTCCCAAATTGTCCCAAGAAGTAAAGAATCTAAATGAGACCAGTAACCACAAAAGTTGAAAGTACTCACAAAGACTGTGGGCCCCCAAAACAGACACCAAGCCCAGGCAGTTCCGTGGGAGAGTTTTATCAAATCTGCAAGAAGCGTACTGCCTGTGTTGCAGAAAGTGTTCCAGTATCCAGAAAGTGACGGCACGCCTCCCGGCTATTGCAGCTGTACGAGCCAGCATAGCCTGACCCCAGACTGGGCTGGGCCAGCACCAACACAAAAAGGCTAACTGGAGCTCAGTATCACTCATGAATATGGGTATAAATCGAATGTAGCCATTTACCTTCAAAATATAATAAATCAACATTAAAACTATCAACGTTTATTTACTACTTGAGTTTATCTGCAGTAGATTAGAGGAGAAAAGCCACCCATGCAATCCTATCGATGTATGCCCCAGAAGCCTTCAGCAAAGTGTTGTGTGCAGTATGATTTAAATCTCAGTACGCATGAATAGAGAGAATTTTCTTAACATGATAAAGGCTAAGTAATCCCATTTCATAGTGAAATATGAGTAGTGTTTCCATCAATGTCAGAAATGAGAAGGATGCCTGCTGTTCACCACCTCTCAACATGGCACTGAAGGTTCTCAATGCAGTGAGACAGAAAAGAACCACCCAGAGGTCCTGCAGATGAACTTAATACGCGTATCTCTGTGATGACATGCACTGACAGCAGGTGTCATGATAGTGCTCGAGAACAAAAATTGCCAAACATGTTCAGTAAATACCGTTTTTGCCATTATGTAGATTGAAAGTCACAAGATGTTTTCCTATGCATTCCATATATACATATAGTGACTTTTTTTTAAAAGACCTAATTGGCTTTATTCAGTGGTTCATGAATTGGACAGCAGCCCATCTAGGAAATAGAAGAATGTTATTTATAGTAACATTTTAAAGAATGAGGAGGATGCCCTTTAAACGTTCCAACAGAGGTTATCTCTGAATATTGGGTAGGGTGAGGAAAGACATCTTTTGACAGTTTTATAAGTGATCTCTTAATTTGTCAAAAGGAAAAAAACTGTCAAAAAGAAATGTATTACTTGTACAGTTAAAAAATTATAATCTTAAAACATCTATACTAAGCTGTGTAGCCATAAAGAGGATTGTGGGAACTGCATTTGATACGTATGATAATGGTAGCTGCTGAGAGCCGGAGGAAGATGCCGGGGTTCTGACAGTGAGTAAAATGCAGACCTGAACATGGAGGTAGAGGGTCTTCCACTCTGCAGAGAGAAGGCCGGCAGGGAGGGCAAGGAATGTGGCTGCAAGAACGGCTCAGGTGACAGCCACAGCGCCTGCAGGCTTACCTTGTGTCCACTCGCACCTTCTGCCCTGCTCGTCCGCTCAGTATCTTTGGCTCATCTTTTGGCAGGAGCGGACCAGGCCTCGGTAACCGCCAGGAGCCATATCCAGCTGGTGAAATCGCAGGTGCAGGAGGTGCGCCAGCTCTCCCAGAAAGCGGAAACCAAGTTGGCAGAAGCACAGACAGAAGAACTCCGACAGAAAACACAGGAGGAAGGGAGTGAGAGGGCTGAGCTGGAGCAGGAGGCCTACCTGCGTGAGGACTGAGGGCCTGAGCCGTCGCCCACGTCTGCCTGCTCAGCCCGGGGAAGGCGGGGGCAGACGCCAGCTGGCCCAAGGTCGGCACATCTTCCTCTGCAAGGAGAGGCAGCGACAGGTCCTGCCCCTGCCCAGAGGTCAGACCAGAGGTCACTGCAAGGGCCTGACCCCTACCCCAGGGTCTCAGGCTTGTCCTGGACCTGGCTCTCAGCTCATGGGCACTGTACCCTGTTTACCACTGCACCCCCCCAGCACAGGTGCCCTCTCACCACCTGTCTTTACCTCCCACCCAGGGCATCTCACCAGCCTGGCCAGTGAGAAGGGGTCTTCCCTGTCATGTCCACAAGTTCGTAGCCGTTTAACCTCAGTTTCCCACCTTATTCATGTTTCAAATATGATTTAGTATTTGCTCCCTCCATAGGAATGTGAGTTTTTCAGGGAAAGGGGAGCCTGTGCTGTTTAAGGGTTTCTAATGCCTTCTCTGACCTGGCCCCGCTGCCCTGTAAGGACAGCTCAGGCCCAGGAACCGGATGCGGAGTGTTTACCTGGTGCTCTCAGCAGGACTTATTCCAACACAAGCTTCTCATTTCTTTCGAGTTTCTCTATTGTATCTGAAGGAGAATAATTTTTTTTTTTGTCAATTTAAAAAAGAAAATGTGTGTATCTTCTGGAGCCCTGTGCAGCCTCCCTCCTTTAACCCCCAGACTGGAGGGGCCCCTAGGGCTCCAGGAGGCCCCCACAGAGCTCTGCATTCGCTGCGTTTTTGCCCATTCAACACATGCTGGTACTAGATAGCCAGTTTCAATGTTTTAATCAAAGTTAGCAGGGTTTGCTGGGGGTTACAAAAATGAAGTCAGCATTTCCTGTAGACCATCAAGGGCCAAGTTTCAAGGTTCTCAGTTTCTCATCATGATTGGAAAATTAAAGTCCCCTCACTCAACCCACCCCTCGAAGCTGGGGCAAGGGGGCAGCTGCACACTTGAGCCCCTCATCTGTCACCAGCGCCCACATGGTCCACATCTCCAGGGGGCTGAGGCGGTGCACCAGGAGGAGCCCTCTGTACAGGCAGGGGTCCAGAGGGTCCAGGGGCCGCCGGATTCCAAACGTTTTGAAGCCTGCGTGGTGCATGGGGCTCACCCCCAGCTTTCTCAGGCACATACCTACAAAGACGTCATCAATGGGGAAGAGTTCGGCCTCTTCCACGGCCGCTTGGAGGCGCTGCACGGTGGCTCTGGACATGACATACCCTCCACCCCCAGCATAGGGCGGGTAGTGGCGGGCCCTATACATGGAAGGTGGGATGAAATATTTGACTTTGGTGTTCCTGTTGGGCAGGGCCTGGCGGATGACATCTCCCACCAGGAGATCCTGGGCCGGGTCCCACCCATCCAGGAACTCCAGCACATTGGGGACGTGCACAAAGACATCATCATCTCCCTTTAGCATGAAGCGGGCCTGGGGACAGGCAGCCGCCACCCAGCGCTGCAGGTGCAGCTCCTTGAGTGTCAGGTTGAAGAAGTCCTCAGCAAAGTCCCACTGTAGGATATCGTCAAACTCCCGACTCTCGTAGGCCAGCAGCTGGGCTGGGGGCGCAGGTCCCGCCACCCCCAGGAGGAACACCAGCTTCAGCTGCTGGCCCTCAGCCCAGCTTCCTGCCCGGCCCCAGGTGCTGCGGATGGCTGCACGCCGCTCCACGTGGCCGGGCTGCGACTTGATGGCCAGGAGCAGAAAGGTATCCTCCGCACAGCCCGAAGGCTCCAGCAAGATGGAGAAGTTGCGGCAGTGGCGGTACATCAAGAAGAGGCGGTGGCGGTGAGGCAGGAACAGGGAAGCATTAGCCACCGTGTGGTTGGGTGGACACTGGCTGCGGCGGGGCCCTGCGGGAGCCCAGAAGGGCCGGTGGGCCCCGGGGTCCCTTGCTGGCTGGGCCCCCTTCTTCAGGAAGAACAGGCAGCTGAGCAGCAGCACCGCGAGGCTGTACAGGACCAGCCAGCCCAGCCTGCGGAGCATGGCGGGTCCTGCGAGGAAAGCGGGGGTTAGCAGCCTGGCCCTGCCCCGGCCTCCCCCTCCCAGCTCCAGGAGCAGTGGTTACCCACGGCTCAGCGGCTGAGTCCCTGGGACGTCCTTTGATTCTTATCAGTGTTTCCACTGACTCCTTCTAGAGTCCCTCTCCCAGGGGACAGACCCCGCACACCTGCTCTGCCAGCCCCTGCTTTCCTACTGTCATCGGCGGCTGTGGGGTCAACTTTTTCTCCAAAAGGACTTGCAGCCACTTTAAAACTGAGGCACCACAAGTGTTGTCAGCATGTCCCAGGAAACTCAAGTACTTAATGAGCTTTAGTGAAAAGGGCACAGCTTATTTCCAAAAAAAAACAAAGTGCAGTCTGGTCTGTTGGTGGCAGACCCTGAGTTTCCGGTCTCAGGTGACAGCCCGAGGCACTGCCCTTTAGGAGTTTGCTCCTCCAGGGAAAGGAAGCCACTGCATGGCAGCAGCAGGGGGCTGTGGCCACCACAGAACACACCCTTCACATCTGCCTGAAGTAGCCTGAGTTTCCTGGGGAGTCATTTAAATGGGACTTTAGGGGGAAAACACACAGGAAGAGCAGGAAAGCAAGCTGGAGACCTGTACCAGGATGGCTCCCAGGGACCACGCCTCACTTGTCCCCACCACCGAGTTTTGGTTTTCTCTCAGCAAGTCTCCCAGCGCCCCAGAGAGAAGGCCGAGAAATGGTAACTTAGCACAGTAACCTGCCCAAGGTCCACAGTAGCAAAGCCAGGCCTCCATCCCCCTCCTGGTCACCTCCCCTGCCATGCCCCGGTCCAGCCAGCCGTCACTTCGGTCCAGTCTACCAGTCTTAACCTCATCCTGGTTGTCGCCGCCACCACTGCCGCAAAAGAATCTCTTCTAGAGGCTAGGGATGCCACGACAGGCAGGGTCACAGCCCTCACAGAGACCAAAAAAATGAGTACAAACTTCAGATAGTGCTGAGAAGAAATTAAAGCAATGTGATGAAATACAGCGACTGGGAAGGTTATTTTAACCTACAGGAGTTTAGAAAGCCCTCCTTGAAAAAGGACATCTGAGCAAGAAGTGAATGAAGTAAGGGGCCAAACCACATGAAGACCTGCTGGAGTGTGTGCCGGGCAGAGGGAGCAGTTACGTGCGAAGCTCCTGAAGCGGGACAGGTGTGTAGCGTGGCCTGAGGGTAAAGAGCAAGGAGGAAAGTGGTAGGTGGTGAAGCGGAACAAGAGCACAAGGAGGGAGGCAAAGGCAGTGGTGAGGGGATTGGGAAAGCACTTGGGGTTATATATATTGTAAGCACCATGTAGATCCCTTGGAGGACTTAGCAGAGGCAGTAAAGAATTCACATTGTTTGAAAGGTCACTACTGCTGCCGCTTAGATAATGGATTGTGGAAGGGCAAGAATGGAGACAGACCAGCTAGCAAGCTGTTGCATTATCAGAACCCAGGCGCAGCTGGGACTAGGGTGGTGGCTGTGGAGCGAGTAAGAGCCAGGTGGATTTCAGGAGTGGAAAGTGGATTTCAGGTGTGGAAGATACGCCGGCTGTGGGTGAGGGCCGCTGGGGGAAGGGGGTTGATAATGCCATTTACTGAGAAGTGCGCAAAGCCAGCCGTTTGGTTTTGACTTGTGCATTTCGGAGGCCCAGGCTGAGATGCGCTGTGGACAAGGTTTCCCCTTTGCCCAAGGCGCCCCCGATGCAGGCACCCAACACCCTCCCACCCCCACCCTCGGACCTCTGCTGCGAGAACTCAACTGCAACTCTCCACCGCAGTGACGGGGACCACTCCTCTGCTCCCCACTTCCACACACCTGCTATGAATCGAATTCAGTTCCTGCTGAGCGTATGCCTCTCTCCATACCGTGAGCCCAAGCCTGGTCCTTAACCAGCATGGGCTTCAGCGAGTGCAAGGCCCCCTCCAATTGGGCGCTGAGTCCTAAGGTTCTGAAATTGTTTCTGGGGTGATAGCTGCCCCGGGTCCTAACAGGTCTCTGCGACCCAACATGCCACAGTGAGGGAAAGAGTCAAGGGTTGGTTCATTCTCTCCAAGCTACAGTCTCTATAAAGTGCTGCTGCGGGGGCGCAAAGGCCCCGGGGTGCCCAGAGCAAGGACCAGAGCCCCGCGGTCGGCACCTCTCCCGGCCTACGCACAGCGAGCAGGGAGTCCCGGGCAAGCCGCTCAGGCTCTCCCCGTCCACAACGCCCGGCTCCGGCCACTGTCGCCCCAGAGGGCGAACAGAAGCCGAGAGGCAGCAGGAGGCCGCCTGGCCCCGGCGGTCTACTGGAGGCGAAAAGCCGCCCTCCCGCC